AGCTCCACATCTATTTCTGAGTACGCTCCAGGTTTTATCTTCTATGGCCCAATCTACAAACATCAATACTACCTTTGGAATGCTGTTCATTGGTACCGTTGTTTCCACCCTGTGAGATGCAAATTTGATGTTCAACTTTGGTACCAAATTTATAACGAGTAATAAAAGATTTTTAGGGACGGCCACGCTACAGGTATGCTCTACGAAGAGAATGCGCAAGTTGCTCACCAAATGCAACAAGATGTACATCTACTACAACCTCTTCCCACGCGATTCTCACTTTCATAAGCTTACAGTTGAGTACTCCGCGATATGCATACTATCTCTCAGTCCTCGTATTCTACGCACACTTACACGCAATATAGGTGGCTATACTCTGGTCTCTCGATACAATGATCCTTGCCTTGACTGTGCACTCCGTCTACTACTACATCATCATCAGCTTCTCCGACGGAGCGGCTCTCAATGCTGTCACCTGGTGAGAGTTAATACCACAGACTGCATATCCGTGGTAACCTTATGTTGCAGGAGCATGCGGGTAACTCTATACAACGTTCCGAAAAGTACATACTAATGGGCTTATTAGCTTCAGCTTATATTGACAATTCTGCTCGTCACGTTGGTCCAGAGTCTGTATACGTGGCGCATATGGCTACGTAAGTGACACTTTGGAGAGGTCTCAGCTCATTGACATTATATCTACTCATGTTCACAGTGAGATCTACCGATCGTGTGATCCCAATAATCCTTGTACGTGCTACTGTAATTGTAATCCGATTCAAAAATAAGTGTATTGCCATTTTAGTGCATAGCCATGACAGGATTGTGGGGTATGTTACCCGTATCTTATCTGCACCCTATAACTAAGCTGTCACCTACCGATTTAGCTAACTCATTATGTGGGTGACATCCCATAAAGTACATTACTACTGACATTCCATGCCCCAGTCTCCGTTTACGTCAGGTTCGCGGCTTCCTCTATCACTAGACGAATCTGACCAGCTTCCGCAGCACACAAGAGCTCATGTGGTCTGATTTCAAGGAGATTATTATCAGGGTGACATCAAACATTCACTCTGTCAATTTCATACTGATATAATTACCGAAGCGTTCAATATACGCGGACTTTGCCATTGCCGCAGGCTATGATACAACAATATCCTTGATTTTATGCTATTATCTGTATCGCTCAAAAACTGAATTTCCACGGCACGTCACACAATATTAACATTGAGACACCCTTTCATTGATGAAAGACTCATAGGACAGTATCCACAATCGAGACGCTCATGTATTGGATATTTGCTACAGGACTTCTGACCAGGTAAAGCACTCCGACCTCACTGTGATATACTGATGGTGAGGCTAACTCTGACAGCACACTGTCCGTTTCCATCCTGATAACTGTGTGTTGTTTCATTCTCCTATATATGTAGCTGCACTTCTCACGATGATCCAGTATTCTGTTATGCCTGGCAACATGATCTTCCTCGCCCTAATAATCTTGATGTCAAAACTCTACGTCAACAGCTTCTTTGCGATGTTCGTATGCACCTTGTTCCAGCGCCATTCCATGTCCTAACGCGCAGTCAGGCTTAACTCTCGGGCCTTCCTTAGGCGAAAATGCTACACTCAACCTCCACTCTTCTCAAGCCACAGTGAGAGATTACCTGTCACCGTGCATGTCACGGAGGTAGGTAAAATTCCTCGGATATGGCCAGCATCCAGTAGCTTATCCTTCCTCTTCCAAGAATACACGCGTCTATGACAACTATGAACTATCCCCCACGTCGACATATGGCAAAACGACCATTGACATAAAAAAACCGGATACCGCGTTGACGACTGCATGAGTATCATGGCATGACTTGATTCCCGTTTGACGGTGTTGGGGATGTTGCACCCGTGTTGGTGTCAACCGTTGCATACATGTATCCCCTCATTTATGAAATTTATGAATATGCTTGATAACATTTCATAACATTGACCTTTATCGATCGATCCCGAGGGACACTACTTGCTCTGGGCTACTACGAGTATTTCGTGCTAAGCATCAAAAGCATGCGCTTGCCTTATCCACCACGGTGCAGGACTCAATAATTTCGCTATAACCAGACGCGCTACAAGCACCCATCCACTTTCACGAGGCAGTGCCGGACAGGGCCACGAGCGTGAGCTCATGCCTGAAGCGCTGCAGATTAAGGATTGATGTTTGTACCATAGGGCGGATGTGACCGCATCTGCCAAACCACGAGTGATCACATTGTTATTCCGGTGTACCCGTCTGATTTGAGTTGGTTGATGATTGCGTACGACGAAGTCACCCCCGACAAGACGCAAGAGCACACAATGGAGGCTCCAAGCTCACCTCTCACCTCTGACGTCGTCTCGTCTTGCACCAGATAAGGCTGGACAAACCGGCACAATAAGGACAGATTCGTTCAAGACACTCATCACAGCGACAGCTTCTGCCTGCCTTCATGTGGGCGCACCGTATGTGGACGCGCACACTAGTGCCATACCGTAGATAGTAATCTCACGGGTCTCACACTCGAAAGACGGGACCGCCTTGCAGGGCTGATGCTGACTCATAGGGAATGGCTGGAGCGCACGCTGTCGGGGCACAGTCATATGCACTCACGGGCGGACTGCTGCACCCAGCCCCGGAAAAGGCTTGGAGTAGAACGAAGGGTCGGCGAGAAGAAAAAAGCAAGGGTCGCTGGAGGGGATGACAGCCAAGAGCTCCGAAGGACGTATCTCTACTAGGCAGATCTGATGAGTAACACGCAGCGTCCGGACCGATGAGACGTTCTCGCCCGCCTGTCGATTCTTCAAGCTTGACCTAGGCTTCAACTAAGCTGACCTTATATCGTGGCTAAGCATGGCTCTGCGAGCTGTAACATGAGTCATGATCCCTGTTGGTGACGTTCGCAACTTGTCCTGAGTTCGTAGTCACCATCTCATGGTCGAGGACAGCGAGAGGAGGGGTGAAAACCGACAGCGCAGTGCCAAGCACTGATGGGGAAGGCTACATCGCACGCCACAATCTAGCTGGGAGAACCGAGCAAGCCTTGAGGCAGCCTGCCGCGGAAGCGGAAGCGAGGTGATGTTTAGGCAAGCTGGGTACCTTGATGTGGCGTCCGTTTGGGCGCAAGAGGTACAGATCTTCAGCGAAGGTGGAGAATATATGGAGGCAAACTATTCGCCCTCTGCCCACGATGCCCTTCAAATTCTTGCAGGCGCATGATGACATGGAGAGCACGGACATCGTTCCTCGAAGTTGCAACAGGTCACATCGGGGGTGAAACGCCACCTCCAGCATCCGCAACAAGCTCATCCGGTCGCGCGGTTGAAACGGCGCGATGACCGCTACCTATACGAGCTGACAGAGGGGCATGAGAAAAATGCTCGTAGGCCAGCTGATGAATCTCAGCCGGGTGAACTGGGTTCGGGCCAATTGATTGCCTTCCCTCGATTCGTTCGGGTGTGGTTCCATTGGCCCATGAGGGACTGAAGCGGTTTGAGGAGGGAAGAAGCAGCCGAATACGCGCTGTGGGTAAGACGACGGGAAGTAACAAGGTGCGTGGTGAGGTTCCCGTTGAAGGCGCACAAGCAGGAGCGTGATGGTGAGGCCCTCGTCCCCCGGCACAGAATAGCAGAGTTCGGAATGATATGAGAGGTAGAGGAGGAGTACGCAAATCCCCCACATCGCATCCTCGGAGCCCATCAGGTCCGACGGAGTGGTTTGGGGATGACGAGTGGCATAGTGTAACTCTGAAAGAACGACGAAAACGACGTCAGCGGAACCAACATATTGAGGGTTTGATAATGACTTACTCAGGGGTATCCAGGTCAATTTTAACCAAAGAGCGCATCGAGGGAGCGCGCTCTTTGTGCGTACCATCGACAGAAACTTCGACGGGAAGATGCTTGACTAGCGAACAATGTTACGCGAGATCTGGCGAGGACGCGCAACGGGGCAGGTCGTGCGAAGGGTGTGTGAGGTACCGACGATAGGATGCATCCGGCCGACGGGAAGGCAGGTGCAGGTGACCTCAATGGCTCGCATCACTCGACGAACGCCGTCCTGAACGCAGGGACGTCGGGACATCGTGAGAACGGGAGAGAACAAAGCCGAAGTCGGTGCTTGGGTACGACAAAGGGAGATGAGAAACGGGGCAGTAAGGTCCTGGGTTACTTTAGCCAGGACACCAAACGAAGGACGGCGTGAGTCGAGGACGACAGGGCTCGCGTTGGCGCCGTGGCTACAACCGACGTCTACGAAACTTGATATCCCTCCGACCCTCGCTGGAAGCAGCGGCCTCGGTGGCATGACTACCTCCACGCTTCAAGAACCTTGCTCCCCGCCCTCGAAAACTTCGATCTCAGGACTGGACAAGATCGTACCAATATCGAGCAGGGAACATGGCGGCAAGAAATATCTGCAGCATAACATTTGGGGAAGAATGGTTGCATGTCGCGTAGGATGATGATCGGGAGGGGTATGGAGGCGAAGTGGAAACAGACGGCAAGGTGGGAGGGAGTGACGAGCGTAACAAGGATCATCGCGCCGAATAGGTCCATATACTGAAGTTCATCGTAGCGCCATGACGTGGGAAACTCTTCGACGCGGTTTTGGCGGGATTTCCCAGCCAACTCGCGGCTGAAATCCTCCGGTGCGAATCAAAACCGAGTTTGGAGCACCAACGACGAAACAACACGATGGCCAAGCCCTGACCAAGCTGAATGGCGTGTCCCTGCGGTTGCGAGCAGGAATGTCGGTCAGGTCGAAGACGAAGCGCGATATCTTGTCGTATGAGGTAGAAGGGTAGGCGAGGAGGCCGGAACTTTCCTCGATGGTTGTTGGTGTGTGAGAAGGATCGGAGAGAAGGCGTCCTCACAGTGTGACATAGATGCAAGACTAGTGGATAAATGCAAGAGCTCGAAGGTGGCTCTTGAAAGCGGTATCTATCGTCTCTTCGTGTCAAAGAGTGGATGATGGTTCATAGCCTGCACTACAATCACAGACGGCAGTCAGGAGTGGGGATGGAAGAAAAAACTCTGCAGCGCGAAATGGACGTGATCTTGGATTTGGTCTGCCATAGGTGGGGGGAGTTTGCCTCAAGCGGATGCAGGACGCTGGTTCGGGGATGGTATTCGTTGGTACTCCGAGAGAGCTCTGGCTTTGGTAGGGACATGTGTACGTCTGGAACGAACTGAAGGTGAGAAACAGTCGGTCATCGCCCACATAGTATGATTAGAAGCTGCGCTACGTACCAAAAGGCGGCCATCATGTGGTCATCGTTCAAGCCAAGCGGGAGCGTTACCATTCAGGTCTTAAATAGTCCGTGCGATGCGCAGCGTACAGTGCTGCGCTCGGAGAACCTCAGCAGCTAGGGGCGGAACCGATGAGTGTCGTATCGTATGGCGATAAGGCACGTTGGCTCACCAAGCACATTCATCATTCGCGTGATCGTCATTGGGGTTGCGAGAAGGGTACTTCAAGATTGAAAGATATTGGCTATACAAGATGGAAGTTGTTGGCACACGAGGACGTCCAGGAGTTCATCTTGCAACGGTGGGCACAGCCGCTATAGACGCACATCCCTTCTCCCGTCCTATCCTGCCCGGGCGAGCCCAGGCAGGTGTGTGACTCTACCAGGGCCCGTGCCCCTGATCCTGGCGAGAGTGCATCCATCCTGTCCGCGCGAGTGAATGAAGACAGGTGTTCATTGTTCGGTGAAGCTGAGTGCGTCGACGTGGTGTCGAAGATATGAAATTGACACGTGGTTGGGGATTATGCAATCCATTCCAACGCATGGCTATCCATCGGAGGCGGGGCAAGCGTAGCTCGACGAGCCCGGTAGGTATGGTGCATCGGAGAAGGCGCTGCATTGACATAAGAAATTGATTATGATCTGAGGTTTGGCGGTACTTGCGTTGATCCGTGCACCCTGGTGTAAGACGTGGTCGGACTGGGTTCGGATCAAGCCCTCTTCTGACCGTGGGGCGTGCTTTGTATTGGTGGGAATGTTGCCACGCGCGTCGCATCCTTTCGTCAGGGGTGCGCGGAGCAAGGGATCCCTTGCTCCACGCACGGGCGGAGGTAGGTTCCGGAACCTACCTCCGCCCGTGTTGCATGCGTCACATCGACGTCCCCTTTTTATTGATTACCTTCCAGTCCAGTCCGATCTTCTCTATTCCCCTGAAAACACTACGCGATCGCTCCCGCTTTCACGGCATTCGGTGCGTTTTCCCCTCTTTTTTCTTGTGTTTAATCAGCGCAACTGATGGTGTTATGATCAGGATCTCCCCTTGGCCTCGAAGAGATCCAAAGCGTGCCCAGCACAGGCGACGGAGCGCAGTACGACCTGTTCGTGGCACACGTACCGACGGTAATGGGTGACGTCGCAGGCACCCTCCGCGCCGCCGATGCGCTACAGTTTGGCACACGGAACGCTTTGTGCGTTACCTACTCGCCACATCGCACAACTTCAACGCTGACGGGACTGGTTCTAGAATTTCCCACATCTCACGCATATCGTCTGTGCTTCTGTTAACAGGATCGTCGATGTCTATCTTCGTGAGCCTGCCAATATGTACCTCGGACGAAACGGAGGCCATGTCTCATCGAGGGAGCATATTCATGAAATCTCTGGCGATCTTCCATCACGCCTTCGTGTTCTCCGTGACTATCGCGATACCGGTCCGCATACCCCACTTTGGCCCGTACTCAGCCTGCTTCGAGGAGATCGTCTTGGAGGTACCTTTCCTCTCTGTGGTGCTGCACGGCGGTTGGCAATTTGGCATTGCTGCGGCGGTTTTCATTATGATCGCCGCCATCAGTGACTCGATCTCTCGCATCGTTCTGATGCGGTATCCTCACCATCTTCTGCAATCATGGGCCCCTTCCAGTCCAGTCCGATTTTCTCTATTCCTCTGAAAACACTACCTGAACTCGCTTCGGTCGAGCGCGAATGTCGGATTGATTGCCCCGAGGGTCGTCGTCGGGCGCGGGAAACATGCCCTGATTGTCTGCAGATTGTCGAGAGGCTCATCATGCGCTCACAATATCTGGCTGAGATGTTTGTCGACTCTGGTCTTTGGTGAGCTTGTTCCGTTCTGAAACCTGCACTTGAGCGACCACGTTCGCACCCTCGTTGTGCTCCTTGCTCGTTGCGTTAGGTCATGCCGGCTATCTCGCCGATGCTGTCTATCCAGAATCCACGGTTTTCACAATTCTCCGTCTACACCACATCTCGCCACCGTTGAACCAACGAACTCACCTCAAGATCAATCAAGTCCGCCAACTCCTGCTCGGTGCGCTCTCCTGCTGAGCAGGTCTTTCTCCGAAGGATCCTAGCTCTATGGTCTCAGGCTTCTGTGTTGTGCATGTCACCTTGCTCGATTCTGCCTTACGATCAGATATCACTTGCTGTCCACGTGCCGTCCAAATATCACTGGAGTTGCCGGATAAGGCTCCGTGTCTCAAGTCTCGATGCACACCGTGGTATGCCCTCTCCTCCAGCTGTTCTGTGATGCGCCGATGGCCACCCGTTCACGATTGTGCGCAATTGATAGACATCTGATCCACTAATTGTATACACCTCTGCGTGATATCATACAAGTCACTGAGTGCCATTCGCGCCGACTTCGCCTAAGCGGAAAGAAAACCAACGCGCTTCCAAAAGGCGATCCACTTCACCGCTTCCTCCGGCCCCAGATCACGGATCCGCGTTGTATCCGACAGGAAGTCGCATTGTTCGTAAGCACGCTCCATCGAGAGCCTCGGTTCCTTCCACTCCTTTTTGAAAAAATCCAACAGCATGAGAGCAGGAGTGGTCGAAGGATCCGTAGCGCCTTCTAGTTTGCTGAGCCACGCATCGTATGGCACGGTGTCGAGATTAAGAAAGTTCGCGATGGCCCGAAAGACGGACGAAGCGGGGACCGGACGGGGATGTACGAGATGAACAACACCGGGAGAAGCCTTGCGCATAGACGCTATGCAACGGGCTGCGATATCGAGAGGCAACCAAGCGAGGTTCTATAACGAAACGGCAGACACGTCAAAGCAACGTTATATGGCATGGAATAGAACCTTACTTGTTGCATAGATGGCATGCAGCCCAGCTGTTGACACGACTTCACAAGCGCAGGAAGCCACTCGGTGCTAAGGGGATGTGTAAGAAGCCTAGCAAGTGAGCAATAACGAATGGCGTACGTCTTCCATGCGCCGTTTTTTGCCCCCGACAGCTGTCCAACGCGAATCGTCACTGCACTCAGGCCACTTTTCTCTGAGGCAATCTGGAGAAGGCGCTCTCCAACCCATTTGGATTGCGTATAACCGTTACTCAAGGCCACTGACGCGTCGACATGCGTCTCTTGGATCGGCTCTGTAACTCCTTCCCCTAGACGCTGAGGTGAGCGCAATGATTAAGCGGGTGTGTCATACACGCACCACTGACCACCCCGATGGAGCTGACAAAGCACAACTGTGCACCGGAGGAGAGCGACAAATCTATGAGGTTGCGCAAGCCGCGGACATTCGCCTCGAAGGACGGCAAGCCCGCCCCGAAGTGCACGTTCCATGCTTGGGCGTCATCTCGTTCAGCGAGTCAGGCAGAGACAGACGACTACTGGCTCACCGTTATGAATGACGTGGGTCACGGAGTTGCGGATCTGCGATGTGCGCAACGTTAGCGACGGTCACGGAAGCCTGGGGGCTACCCTCACCTCCGTTAGGGTCTCCGAACTCAGCCCGAAGTCCGCACGACCCCAGTCCACGGTCAACAGCGTCACTTTCGACGATCGCGCAGCCCCTGGATCTAGATCATGCGTCTGAAGTACCGCCTCCTGCCTCTCGAGGAGGGACTTGTGACCGGGTCCGCTACGATTGAACGCATAAATCCGTTCCACGGATGGATCTTCCAAAAGGGCCAACAATATCTCGCCTCCCAGGTTCCCCGTTGTACCAGTCAACATGACGACATGGATTTCACTCGCGCGTGGATGTGCCGGGTTACTGGCAGGAAGATTACAAGAGTGCACGTCCACCAAGCGAGTCATCGCATCGACGACGGTGCGAGTATCGGATGCCGCTGACGGCGCCCCGCGAGCGAAGGTCACCACGAACGAAGTGAGAGCACGGATCGAAGGGTGCTGATACACCAGGCTGGACGATACAGATCGGGTGTCGAGACCCGTGGTTTGTCGCAAGGCGCGGAGCAAGGTGTTCCGGATCCACGTCGCTTGAAGGCTGATGTATTCGATAAGAATTAAGATACGCGGCGGTATGACCAATGACGATGTACCTGTCGCAGCCGTGTTCGAAGAGGTTATCTTCGTCAGATATTCCCTGCTTGAGCGTGTTCTTGACCAGAGATCGTAAGAAAATAGCCGCCGTTTCATCCGACCAGCTGGCGGGCGCCTGGATTTCGAGTTGCGTAGATTCTTCGAGGGCGGCATAGGCCGAGTCGATCTCGACCTCGTACTCGGCGAGGACCCCCTGCCGCCGGACCGTCATCTTGGCAGAGTAAACGAAGGGCTTCTTCGGCGAGGCCACCAGGATCATCTACAGCGTCGGTCAGCGCGGGCTCATAAACTACAGCTAGACGATCCTTGCCTCTTTGAAGATGCGCGAGTGCTGAGGGGCGAACTGATTCATGCGCTCCACGCTCGGCCTGCGTGCAGATGCGTGATTAGCTGCATGAGCTCCATTTCCATGGTGAGACGGGGCGCCCATTTACCAAATCTTGTTTCGGAACTCGGCAAGCTTAGCCTCATCAGGATCGAATCTCTCCTGCTGTATCGGCTCGACTATGACGCCAGCATGGAAACGTTCCCGACCGAACATGACCGCCGCGGCGACGTGGGGGTCTTGATTCAGAATTGCCTCTGAAACGGATATAAGTGCATGGCGCACGAAATGAGAAAATGTGTGCCAACCAAGCGGCCCTGGATTAGTCTGGACAATTGTAGGCAGTGAGTGTATCGAACGCGGACCGGAGGAAGATGGAATTAACCTTCTCCCCGGTGCTCTGCATGATCTGATCGTCGGCCCGGCCGAATACCTTCCACAGGTCGGGTTTCGTGGGGTGCCTTTCGAGCAGGTCCCCAGTAGCGTACGCATCTACGCCCTGTACCGTTGTGTTCGTTATCATGGGAACGGACAACGGGTTTCCCTACGATTTTCGGGTAAGAACGCGCCGCGGCAGGAAGAGACATTCCACGTACGACTAGCACCATCTCCACCTGTCCAAAGCCATTCTCGACGAGGTGCGGCTTGACGTGCTTGCTGAACCGGAAGTACTGCCAGTCCAAACCGGGTCGATCTCCTGAGCTCCTTGTCAGGCCGTCTCAAGGACACTACGTGCATCCGCGACCTACTGGGAAGGATGACGTTCACCACTGTCGTCTCCGTGCTTCTCTCGTCAGCGAGGCTGCCTGATGCATACGACGAGCTTACCTTCCGTAGAGCGTGTATATGGACACGCCTTTCTCGGTCAAAGCGTCTCCCACTGCCTTGCTGAGGGGACCTCCTCCGTAAAGCTGGCCAAAAGAGTTTAAGTGTATACTCCTGGATGGATAGCAGTCTCTACTCACGACACCTTTTATCCCCGCGAGGTACTCCACATAAGCGGGATACTCGAGCCAAGCCTGGAACGTGGCGTCATTCATCATCAAGAGACGAGGGAACGGTGGTCGAACCTCTATAAAGGACGGCACCGAAAACACGATTTCGGACTTCGTGTGCATGGCGCCTTGGATGACGCGATCTGGAGTGGGAAGGATCGCCGGAGATCGAGGCGGGAAGGCGCTAATCACGAAGCCGCAAGCCGGCTACCGCGACTGTCTTTCAGCATCGCCGGGCGCGCGAGGTACCAACCGGCACTGCTCACCGCCCAGAGCAAGATCGTTAAGCCCAAGCCATGAAACATGGGCACGGAGTGACAGCCGAGCGTGAGCCCAGCAAAGTCGATCTCTCCCAATGCTGCAAAAACATCGATCAGCAACCGGACCGTACACTTTCGTCCCCCCGCGGAGAGCTTACCCGGAATGCCCGCAACCTTGATCATGAAGAAATGCGTCCAGGTGATGACCTTGGGGAACGCCGTTGATCCTAACGATCGCCGGGCTGTCAGTAGTCGACAGAGAAGCTTGAAATGAGCAGTACCTGAGGAATGTAGTATATATACCGGATCGTCGGGGCCGACGTCGGGATCAGGAAGAGGTTCGCAAGGGTCTGATGATAGGTACAGGTCCTCGAACTTGGGTATGAGCGAGGTTGAGGGCACCGAATCCTGTGGCATCAATGAAGTCGCGGCGGTGGCGAGTTGAGAGAACACGCTCTCGGAGCCGAGCAGAACGTGATCGACCCGAGCAGAGGAGAGCAGATGGGCGAGCTGTAAGTATATGTCTCAGCTCGTCCTGAACGCCTGTAGAGCGCATTGCGCGTACCGCAGGGGCAGAGTTTCTCGGAGAAATCGGGAATACGGTACATCCGGCGCGCATAATTCCCAAGCAGCAGGCAAAGTAGGTGATCATGTCTAGCATCCGGTACTCAGCGCTCGATTGTCCGATGCGGGTAGAAGTAGAACCACTGACCTGTGCCGGACAAGATGGCGATTACGGGTTTCTTGGACTTGCTACCGACGTGGTCGCGAATGATGCGACCGGCGCGGTGGCTTGCGTGAACGACGTCCGGCCAGTAAAGAGTCTTCGTCGTGTGATCCTCTTCGGCATATACAAAGAGAGGGTGCTTCGAAGACTTGCTGGCATGCCAGTCATAGCACTGGAGAATGGTGAGTGTCCCATCAAGCGGCGGAACGGAAAATGTCGCGCTCGAGAGTCCCTGGGTGGCTGGTGGGGGGCTGAAAGGTGTAGCCCTGAAATCGTTCGTCATGACCAACGAAGGGCGGGATCAGATTGTCGGAAGCCTCGTAGTTAATGAGCCGCCATCGCTTCAATATCATATATGTGAGGAGGGAGTGACAGAGGCAGCCCAGCCCGCCAATGCTGTCGAGAAGCCCCAACCCTGCACGCTCGAATGGAGACAGCATAGCATCACGTTTTCGGGTCAGTACGGTCAGGCACTACCCTCATTCCCATGAGACCGTGACGCCCGAGACGTCTTTCGTGGGGCAATGAGGAGGTTTCCGTTGTCGGACCCGCTTTCGGGTAGGCACAAAGGCCGGCCGAATGGAACCAGTCTTCAATACAGATGTGAGTACACTCATCTCTCGGCACTCCGCTGCGCGTCCACTTGCGAACTCCAACACCTAGTGCGCCAGTTTGACCAGCATCCGTGCTGGACCCGAATTGCCCCCCACTATTTAGTCACGCTGATGACAGAACCCTGCCTTTTCGCCATACTGCTGGACGGCGATGAGAGCGCCCGATTGTGGGGCCGCGGAAAAAGGAGGAGGCAAGGGAGGCAGGATCACGTATGGAGGTAAGCAGGATGATTGCCGCAGACAAGATTCAAGTGAGGCTCAAGTACGTCGGCCTCGAAGGTGACTCCTGGAATGGATGCGACCTATGTATGTATGGCTCTTCCCTATTCATCTCGCCTCGCCCCTGAAGAACGCTGTCCGGGGTACGATGGATCCACGAAATGCCTGCCACGACGGCATCGCTGTGTCCCACCGCGCCTTGCGCGCGCCCATTGCCCTTCGGGATCGGTCTGATGGAAGAGGGAATCCTTTCGTGGCACGGGTCCCCGCAGGCCTTGAAAACCTCAGTCGCATTGCTTGGTGAACCACATCCTACGCTCCTTTGCCTACCATGGGATCCGGACAGTCGCATTTTTTGAATACTCCAGAACGCTATGCGACATCGTCGCCGAGCAACGACAGCTCCAACCAGTGGAGGAGCTATGACTACGTAATCGTCGGTGGAGGCGAATCGATCCATCGTGCTTTCTTTCTTGTTCTGAAATTACCGCAGGGACAGCGGGTTGCGTCCTAGCGTCGAGACTCTCGGAAGACCCTGCCACCACAGTCCTCCTCGTAGAAGCAGGCAAAGGGCGAGCTTATACGCTATACAGTACAAGCGCACATTGGACTACGCCAGTCTTTTGCCAGCTCTGACTCAGACTTGATGACACGTATCCCTCTCACATTTACCAAAACGTTCCGCACTGGAACAGATTGGAGTTTCGACACAGTGTATGTCAATGCTCTTGCATCACGAACGAAGCTCATACGCGTCATTGGAACAGTCCTCAGGAGCACATGTACGGGCGAGAGATCTATTGTCCGCGAGGAAAGATTCTGGGCGGATCAAGGTATGTCAAGTGGTATATTCAACGTCGAGCATAGCCCTCCTTACATATCCCAGTGCTATAAACGCTCTCATCTACCAGCACTGCGCACAGGAAGGTTGGTATCTTCGATGCACTGCACTCGTAAGAGTGCCGATACAGATTCCATGCGAACAGATTTCGACGAGTGGGTTGGGCTTGGCGCCACGGGATGGAGCTACGGGGATCTCAAACCGTGAGTTGCTTTCTTGCATGCTTGCTTTGTCTACTAAGGCACTGTTAAACAGATACTTCTCCAAGGCAGAAAACTATAGTCCGAACACACTTTTCTCTGACGTGAGATCGGAAGATCGCGGCCGCACCGGCCCCTGGAAGATTCGTCACGGTGTATCGTCCGTGAGCATCGTCCTTAATGTACCTATATCCGTGCCTTGACCGCGTGCAATACCTTCAGGATGTGAACAAGATCGTCATTCAGACCGTCCAGAACCTTGGAGTGCCATATAATCCGTTCGTGATATATCCACGATTTCCCACAACATCTGACGCGCAGAACAGCGATATCTGCACCGGGAAGTCCATCATCGGCGTAACAGACTTTCCAGGATTTATAGATGAGAAAGGCCGCAGTGAGTGATGATCCTCAATTACGCCTAAATAAGCCCTAACGGCTATTTCCACTGTTAGGGAGTTCAACGGCCACTGCCTATCTTACGGAGGATGTTCTCTCTCGGCCTAATCTCTCCGTCGCGACTGAAATCGTTGTTGAGAAGATTGTGTTCAGCTCTACTGGCGGGGAGACTCGTGCCGTTGGTCTTCATATTCGCAAGGACAAAAACTCTCCACGGTTTGCCGTCCGAGCTTCTCGAGAGGTTATCGTTTGCGCTGGAGCTATTGGAACGCCTCATTTGTTGCTCATATCTGGCGTCGGACCTCAGGACGAGTTGGCTCGCCATGGCATCCCTGTTGTCAAGGAGTTGGAACACGTCGGGAGGAATCTCTCTGATGTAACTTCATTATCCTGTTGAAGTCTGAACGCGGTGTATTCTGATCTCATCGGTTTTAGCACATCTCTTGCGGCCCCCTTAGCTTTCGTGCGAAGAAGGGCTATACCTGGGATCATCTGACTCGTCCTTTCCCTGGTGCTATGGCCTTGTTCAAATGGATGCTGCTTGGTAAAGGCCCCATGGCGTCATTGGCCAGCGCCGGTGCCGCGTTCATTCGCTCAGACGATTCGAAGTGAGTACATCTGTCATTTCCGAGACTCTTCACCTGAGTCGTCTTAGTCTTCCATATGGGTCCAAGGGCGCGGAGGGTGGTCTTGTTGAAGACCTTACTTCTGGCCCAAACGCTCCGGACATCGAAATCGTGTGGGCGCCGTCCCTTTTTCTGAATTACGGTTTCACTCCCGTTCCTGCGGGCATGACGGGCATTACTATGGTAAGCCGTCTCGCGAGCATTCCTGATAGGCCGCTGACAACCGTTATAGGGTGCTGTCGCTCTGAAGCCCAAGAGCACCGGGAGGATCACCTTGAAGACCAACAGCGTCTGGGACAAGCCCCTCATCGATCCGAAGTGACTTCCATTTGCACTACGGCATACGCGACTTTCTGACTTAATCCGCTCCAGCTACTACGCGTGCGAGACCGACCTGAACCTGGTTGTCCGTGCAACCCGACTATGCCTGAGAATCGCTCGATCGGAACCACTCAAATCTATCCTCGATCTAAAACCGCACTCGACCAACAAGTCGGACTTCATGTGGCCGGGTGACGCCGACCCGGACAAGGTAATCGGGAAGAACAATTATATGTCTTCTCCTGCTTATGATCCAATGTGTCTAGGTCACTGACACGGAGTTGAAGGAGTGGGCACGGAAGAATAGCGCGCCTCCATTCCACCCGGTATGTACATAATCAAGGCTGATCGTTCGCTGACGCATTGCGTAGGTCTCGAGCGCAAGGATGGGAAAATCTGCTGCCGACAGCGTGGTTGGGCCTGATCTGCGAGTCCACGGGATCCAGGGGTTGAGAATCATGGATGCCTCCATCTTCCCTTCGCAGGTATCTGGTCATCCATGCGCGGTCATCGTCGCGATGGCGGAGCGGGCAGCCGAGTTGATCAAGCAAGGCTGAACAGCTCATGTAGTCCACTTCCGCATCCTTGCCCGTTGTACTCGCCAAAAGTATGGTCTATATACTCCTCTTGCGTTTGCTGCCAAAGAATCACCCTTGGAGCCCTCCGAGGCCGTGTGACTCTGCCTGATAATCTTTCAATGCAGGATTTTGGTGAAAGAGCGGGCAGAAAGCCCCGAAGGGGCACCCCGCTCGGATATCTGCGGGTGATGGTGAGCCCCGATAGTCACGAATCGACTACAGAGGGTACTCGGAGTACTGATCGACCGCCCGCGCTGTATCGTACCATCTCATTAGCATGGCACCTCGATAGTATCAGGGACTGTATACCTGCAACAGATTCTGACCGAGAGCAGTCTCGATATGCTGTCCTTCCTGGACAGCAAAGCGTCCACAATACCTCTTAGCCCGTTGCGCGTGTTGTACGGCCATCCCGCAGAAGATCTCCGTGTCCTACTACTAGTATTCCGTCTTACCGGGCACGAAGGAGTATCATGGTGGTATCTCAATCCATGAACAACACGTTTGGTGCGCTGTTCCTAGGCGTGGTGGCTTCGGCGATGTACACTCTTGACACGAACGTTGTTCGGTATAACGAATCTTCAGGTAAGAGTGAGCTCGTATTTCACAGTTACATCTACTCATATACATGTATTGACAAGGTGTACATATACTTACTGTGGAAGATTCCCGGAAGATTCCAAGTGTCACGAGATATCGGTCCAGTGTTATCTGTCCGTGATTTGTTGCACTTTTGTTGCCTATCTGGTCAGTTGGCTAGATATTTTTATCATTATGAGTCAAATTGTGATTCCGAGCATGTAGGAGCATCTTGGTGAGAACAAGCTACACGGCTGAGACTGTGCAGCTCATGCAGGGGCCAATAGGCTGCACTCTTTCTGAGTGATGTTCTTATACCTATGGTCCAGACGGTAAGTGTAGGAAAACTTCATAACGACACTCATAGCTCACTGGCTTCATACTCAGATGTACTGCATCAGGCTTTGGAAAAGTGTGATTTGCCATCCGTTCTGGACCCGGATTGCCCCCCACTATTTAGTCACGCTGATTACAGAACCCTGCCTTTTCGCCATACTGCTGGACGGTGACGAGAGCGTCCGATTGTGAGGCCGCGGAAAAAGGAGGAGGCAAGGGAGGCAGGATTATGTATGGAGGTAAGCATGATGATTGCCGCAGACAAGATTCAAGTGAGGCCCAACCTCGAAGGTGACTCCGTTGAAACCTGCATGGCTCCGGCGATCTCCGGCGGCACACTTGCGATGTGGGCAAGTCGTGTGGTCAGTTCTCTTGCGCATGTCGGCTATTCCTTTGCACCGAATCTGCATATTCGACATCGTCCTCGAGTCTCGACTTACAAGGTAATGGCATCGTCACACTGTATTGGACCGCACGAGAGAACCGAGGAAGCCCAAGGCCCCGAATTCTGTCAAAAAGAACGAGTGTCTCGTCTCGATCACCGTAACAGTGCCAGTCTAAGCAGTGAGATTGTCTTCAAAGAGATACAGATGCTTTACTGCATCTCTTCGAGAGTGAGACTTCCGAGGGACATCGTACGGTCCTACACGATGGTGCTACCTTCGCAATCCGGAGTCTGTTTGGGGAGACAATGATGGAAACCCTTTTCGAATTTTCAATGAGTTCGATCAATGGAAAAAAAATCACATCTACGTGGCGACGCTGAGTTCTAATTATACTCCATACTTGGTTTCCATATCTCTCGCGCTCGTTCATCCTGGCCATATACCGCACCAAGCTTCTGATGCCCTCTATCCCCCAGAGTCCATGGTCATCGTAACCTTTCCTTCTGCTCCACACGACGACCTGGCTCAAGGGAAGCAGCTTTCCCACTTAACCCCTGTCATCCATCGAGAACCCGTCAATCACAAGGTAGTCGATCAGCATCATGCTGGGATCCTCCACGAATACCCTTCGCGTGGCATATATGCCCGCCAAAAAACGGTTTCTTCTCTGAACGTTGTCCGCGCAGACCTTAGTAATCAGCACTCGGCCCTTGGAAACTACGGCTTCAGTCCTGTTTGCGTCATCTGGCTCTGTCTGACCAATATCTTGGATTGCCGTCTTCAAAATCCCGGCCTGCAAACGCTTCGGTACGTCTCTCGTTCGCCATCACCGTCCTTCGTGTGTTTCCATTACGGTTCTACGTTTTACTCATGTGCTAGCAAGCCCTAGGTGACGAGCTCATATGATGTAGGTATCAAGACGAAAGCGCTTTCCGTCGTGCCTGTCCTCTGCAAAGACCCGAAGGGGTGCGCATGCCAATTTACCGCCTCAGTAGTGCGGCTCTTCTCTTCGTCTCGTCAACCTATATTACGACGGACTTTGTTTCTGGCGTCATATTAATGGTCGACTTCGGTATTGCTCACTGCGTGGACTTCAATATCGACATAAGGCGCGGTCTTTGTCTCCTCTGATATGTGGGTGTGAGGTCTCCTTGCTTTTGATACAGGATCTACAACCACGATAACAACGCACGGGCCGGGAGCATATACGGAGATGTAGGCGCATTAGCAAGGTATACGTACGCGAGTCCGTCAACACCTTACGAACGACATCCTCATATTAAGGGACAAGAATTTCAAATCGCGCTTTGGCAAGCAACCAGTAGCCGAGCCGCGTCGGTGTTCTTGTCCCGCCACGTATACGCATTCTTTCTTGGCCTGCGCGGCGATGAAAAGACAGAGTCAGCTAGTATTCTATGCGTAACCACGTAGCAGAATTCATCAGTCTTGCAGGGAGTCCGGATCCGACAGTTGAGGATGATGTTTACACAGGCGTGGACGGCAAGCTACAGCAACTCGGTGCGCAGCCATGACTGCTCTCTCCTCTCTCCCTCTCCGATAGTTTCTGAGAAGCATCTTATGTACAGATCCAAGGCCGAAGAAAGCCAATCGGCGAGGCCGGGCGCGAGAAACGAAAGAAGCTGCGAAGATCAAGTGGGTGAACGAGGACGGTCCGAATCGGGCAATAGCGACCCGAATGGTGCGGAAGACCAGTACGTACTGATGTCGTCATATGGTCTCCGTGATCACTCGACTGACGCCCATGGCACAGCCAAGATACTCCTTCAGAGGTGGCCCGTCGCATTCATGAAGGCGAAGAACGATAAGGAGCGTCTTCGCGAACGTATCGCGGAACTGTGGCCGAATCTTGACGCCCACAGGCTACCCTTGCTCGAAGTCGAGAAGGATTCCTCCGTACTCTTTTGTGTCGAACGGCACAAAGTACCCGCCGAGTACTCGTCGGTTCCCTTCGCAGTGTTCGACGACGTCTTTTCGTCGGAGAAGTGCCAGAAGCTATACGCGCTCTTCCTCAAATTCATAGCTCTTGGACCCAAGGCGAATACAACCGGAGAGGCAAACAATGGGAGCGACGACCGGAGCAAAATAAGCGACGACGCATACCACCTAGGGGTATGGTCACATTACACCTGCGTACCTCGACAGACAGCCGACACTAGACAAGAGGACCAGCCCAACCAAGAAGAGCTGGTGGATGCCATTCGCGAGATGTTCGAGTGCCTTCAGAAGGACTTCGCGCCCTCGATAAACAACATCCTGTACTTCCACGCTCGTCCTCAATTCGAGCTGAAGCAGCTGTGAGTGGCTTCTTCATCCTCCGTCCACGTTTTCCGAAATGCTCACGGGCGAACTCTCAGATGCAACGACGTCCTCCACCAGAAGATGGGCAATGTCTTCAGGGATCGTCCATGGCTCAACATGTTCGGAGCGTTCTTCACGATTGCATGCCGAGCTGGATCCAGCGAGATACTGCATCTAGATTGGAACGATGACCCGCGCTTGTGGACGCTCATGTTTTGCGTCGGTGGACCTGAAGGGTGGGTTGGGGGCGACTTCTGCCTTCCCCAGCTCGGCCTGCGGATCCCCATGCGCGAAGGCACTCTAGTGGCTTGCCTGACGAAACGTTTGGTTCACTGCGCGACGGCGGTCACGCAGGGTCATAGAGTGGTGTTCACCTGCTTTACCGACCTATTCACGATTTGCATGCTCAGTAAAGCCCGTCCCCAAGACGTGGAACGCATTTTTGCGTCTTATCACTGACATTACGTTACTCTAGTGCCTGCGATAGGGTTGTTGCCTTGGAATGTACCCAACGTTATGGAGTTTCGAACGTCGATTTCTCCCCTTGTTTGAATTAGCAATGACGAGTGGTATTTATTTCGCCGCCGCAGAGACGCACCGGGGAAGGTGGCGCCAAGCGCCGGTCCGATTCCCTCACGAACAAGCGATGCTGCGATATCCCTATGCATTAATCGAATGGTTTTCAAGAGAGGGTAACATGCCAGACCAAGAAACGCGACCATGTCGTTGTGGAGCCAGACCTCAACACTGTTTACAATACACTGGATACATTGTAATTGGGAAAAGTCGCATACGAGAATAGAGCATCAGCGTGTTTGCAATCACGAACGATGGAAGCGGACCTGAACATCATACGGTCACGAAATAAGATCTAGCAGCTCAGACGCGCCAACGCTCACAGATCGGGCGCCAGACATGCTTGCACTCAAGAACAGTCTGGAAAACACCGAGATCCTTGCTCACGGCAGGGCCGGTGACGCAGGGCGTGGCTTCGGTGTACCATCACCGTCGGCAGCTTGCTGGGCACGATCACTAGAGAGGATCGCTGGAGATGTCTCTTGAAGTTCTTGAGAGCAAGGGACGACGCGGAGAGCGCGGGATCCTTTCATTCAGGCTTTGCGGGGGGGGGGGTGGGGTA